GGAGGGGGGGGGGGCAAAGACACAGAGACACAGAGACACACCGATATGTTGTTCACTTATTTATGCATTCGTTGGTTGATTCTTCTATGTACCCTGACCGGGGATTGAACCTGCAGCCTTGGTGTATCAGACGATGTTCTATCCAACTGAGCTACCTGGCCAGGGGCTACCCTGTACTTTTTTTTGTTTTGTTTTGTTAATCCTCACCTGAGGATACTTTTTCCATTGCTTTTTCAGAGAGAGTGGGAGGGAGGGAGGGGGAGAGAGAGAAAGAAAGAAACATGGTTGTGAGAGAGCCATATTTACTGGTAGCTTCCCTCAGGGAGCCCCGACCAGGAGTTGAACCCAGGCCCTTCTGGCTGATGCTCTAACCACTGGGAACACTGGCCAGGACCTAGCCTTGTACTTTTTAATCTTTACTGCTGATGACACCTTGGAGAAGGTGAAGTAGGCATGGCCCTTCCTCCCAGGAAATTGCATTCAGATATAGAACTGTGTGTGACACATGGATCATGGGTCCCTGGAGCACATGCATGGGCTCCAGGTAAGAAGTTCTGGTCTGACTGCTTTCACTCCTCTCCTCCCATTTTGCAGGTGTGGCCTGGGGCCCTGAGAAGTAGAGACTGGCCTGGGGTTATCTCCTGTTTAGCTGTCTTTATTTTCTCACCATGCCTCCTCGCATGACTTCTATTTCCTTAGTCCTGAACCAGCCGCACAGGCAGCCAGCTGTGGGTGGTAAGGAGAGGCTTATCAGAATTTTCTAGGCTTGAGAACTCAGAGTCCATCCCCCAAACACACACTCAAGAGCATCTCAAACCAGCATGCATCTGAATCCTCCAGAGGGCTTGTGAAACCACAGATGGTCGGGCCCTGTCCTAGAGTTTCTGATTCTGTAGCTCTGGTGTGGGGTCTGAGAATGTGCGTTTCTAGTAAATGCTCAAGTACAAACCACTGCTGCTAGCCTGGGACTTCGTCCTGGGAACCATCGTTCCTGGGATCTCAGTTGCAGGTGGGGAACTGCCCAAGGAGGAGTCTCGTTAACTCTGGAGGGAGTCATTGCTCTTTCTGGCTCTTTCTGGCTTCAAAGGTTGGCTACGTTGGGCGGGGCTGCCCCATGTTCCAGCTCAGCGGTAGCACTCCTGGGAGTGTTTGGCACTATTGTGGGGGCACTTTTTGTTGTCAGTTTGGGAGTCCTGATGTCTTTGAGTGGGAGGGTGCCGAGGTGGTTCTTGGGATGAGAAAGTGCTGTCCCTTCCAAAATTCAGTAGTGCGTGTTCCACTGAGAAACATCAAAAGACACTAATTTCTCCCCAACATGCCCTGGTTTTTCTCATTGGCGTGTCTTTCCTCATGTAATTTCTTCCTTTAAAATTTACCCACAAACGGAGCAACACATACAAAATCAACACCTTTGTCCACTTGCTTTTGGTTTTTGCCTGGCCAGCATGCCATTTCTTCTGGAACACATCTCCTGTGAGTTCCCAAAACACCTTTCTTAAAAACCCACAGTCTGACACCTGAGCAAAGATACTGGGTTTATCAGGTCTACGCAGAAGAAATTCCAAACACCTACCTTCCTTTGATCAGCCCCAACTCTGTCCATATGGTGATGTTTTTTATTCTGAGTCAGGCCTCTGTCATCCGCTCATTACTGGTTTTGGTTTGCACCTGCTGCCTTTTTTTAAAATATATCTTTATTGGTTTCACAGAGGAAGGGAGGAGAGAGAGATAGAAACATCAATGATGAGAGTGAATCATTGACTGGCTGCCTCATGCACGTCTCCTATCAAACCTGGGACCCTTCAGTCAGCAGGCCGACACTCTATCCACTGAGCCAAACCAGCTAGGGCTGTTTTTTTTGGTTTTTTTTTAGATGTGAAATTGAACCTCCTAAATATTTCATTATTTTATTTTGATAGAGTTGTCCAGGCACATGGTAAGTACCGTACACAAGGGTTACAGAATGCAAAACAGTCCTGTTTCCACACCCAAGCAGGTTCTTCTCGCCCGAGGCAGCCACCGGTCCCCATTTAGAACTCTATTGTACTTTCATGTTCATCCAGGAATATTCTAGGCTTATGCCAACGGAGATACATATATTACTTTGGGGTGGGGGCATGTGTGTGGGTCTGATAATGGCGCTAGACAGGTGTGGCTTTTAAAAACCTGATGCAGAAGCTTGGAGATCATCAAGCACCAGTCCACGCGGGGGTGCCTCATTCCTCCCCGTGCTGCAGAACAGCCCGCCGTGTGGCTGGAGAGGATTATGAGGCCAGTCCGCTATTCGTGGGCCTGAAGTCGGTTCCAGTCTTAGAGACAGCTCACAGTGCCGTGGTGGAGCCTCTTGTGTGGGCCTTGTTCCTCTGTGCCTGTGTGATAGACTGTTTCTAGGAGGGGACTGTTGGGTCAAAGACTGTGTGAGAAAGTGAGAGTGTTGATGGGTTGATGGTGGCATGGGGGGGGGGGTCCCTGTGGGCAGGGGAAGCTTCTCCGGGGAATGTGCCAATCCCAGGCTGCACCTCTCGAGTGAGTTTCCTCACTAACTGGCTCTGTGTGCCTCTGGGCCAACCCTTGGGGCTCTCCAGGCCTCCATTTTGATGTCGGTGGGATGAACCCCTGAACCCCGGGGTCTGTTCTCCCTCAAGGTTAGCATTTAATTTCCTCTCAGGGCTGTGTCTCAGCGAGAGACCCTGGACATTGGATCAGGATTTCCCCGAAGCCTGTCTGGTGAGACTGGAGAGTTCCAAAGCAGGGACTGGATTTTGTCACGGCAGTTCACTGTCTCGCTTTGCGAGCCTGCCGCAAGCTGCTCCGCCTTTCCGACCAAAAATCCATTGGGAGGCCTTGCATGTGGCCCTTTTGGACCCTGTTAATCTGCCCCCGGGGACTCCTGTCCAGACACGGAGGCTGGTGACACAGGGTGCAGCCTGCGTGCTGGGATGCGCCTGGGGGTTACAATTGGAGGAGGAACGTCCTCGGGCTGTCTTTGGGGATAACCATTTTTCTGGACCCCCCCATCCCGTCCCATCCCATCACCTGTACTCTTCGCATAGCTCTTTCCTCTTCTGCTGCCTGTAGCTTTCATTTCTCAGCACGTGAGGTGCGCCAGGCCGCGCCATTGTATCATCCCTAAGCTAACAAGTCACCTGTCGGGCATGGAACGGATTCACAGTCTTGCAGGTGAAGATTGGATGGTGGAGGAAGTATATCTGTTTAAATGAGATTCTGGGAGAATTAAAATGGAAAAGAATGGATTGACAAAGGTGAGGTTAGCATTGCACGGATGAGACTCAGTGAGAAGGTAATTTGTGCTGGCCTCTTTGGAGGGGAGTTGCAGACATAATCCCCAACGGTGGCTGAGCCATGAGGACTTTCTGGTGGGTGGGTTATATATATATATTTTGCACAGTTACACATGGTTTGCCTGATAAACATGAATAAACGTTGTCTTCCATAAAGAAGTATGTTTGCCTTTGCTTTCTTAAAATGTGTGGCCTTCCTGGTCTATCTTTCATGGTTTCCTGCTCTTGCCATCAGGAACGGATGTGGAGAAAAATATTTCTTTGGGCTAAAGGACGATACCGGTGCCTGTGTGACGACTCGTGCGTGGTAGCTGGGCCATCGCCTCGTCATCAGAGATCAGTAGGGAAGGGGGGATTGTGGCAAAACGGAGGACACGTTTTCATGTAAAAATGGCTAGCTGGTATTCAGATCTGTATCTGTTGCCAGAAGGCCATGGAAGGAAGGTCCTGATCTGTTTCTTTTTAAGAGAAGCCAAAAATCTAGGTGATTTTGTAAAGTCTCCCAGTTTTTATATTCTGGTTGTGAGTTAAATTTGTTACAAAAATGTTATGCAGGCCACAGAAAGACCATCTGACCTCTGAGATGGGTAACAGAAAGCGGGGTGAGGGGTGTATTCTAAGGAGGAGGAACACCGAAACGAAATGGGTTGTGTCCTCCCTGCCCCCTCCCCGAGGAGGCCGAGGCCTCCCTGACTGCTGTAAAACGTGTGGTCCTGTGTGTCTCTTTCAGATCCTGGCTCCGCCGACAGAACAGCCCCGAAAAGAAAGTTCCCCAGCCCTCCGCATTCTTCCAATGGCCACTCGCCACAGGACACATCCACAAGCCCCATTAAAAAGAAAAAGAAACCCGGCTTACTGAACAGTAACAATAAGGAGCAGGTAAAGGGCCACCGCGAACGGTGTCCGCACGGTGGGACAAAGGCTGGAGTGAGAAGACGGCAGCTCTGGGCGGGGGGCGGCGTTAAGAGCCGGTGTTCTTGGCATTTAGCAACCTGCCTGACGCTGGCTGTCGTTGACGTAGAGCAGAACAGGGCAGCTCAGAAAGGGCCTGTGTTGAAATTTGTGGCGGGTTTTCAGATCTGTTTTGGGGACAGGGCAGTCATCCAGATGAGACAGAGAAATTGTGCTTTAGGGCTTGGGGCTTTTTCTTGGGTTTCTGTTTCGTCCTTTAGGAAGGTTCCCCCATGTGGCTGGAGAGTATTTTCCTCCTGGGCCACGCCAGCAGGATGGCTCTCACCTCCGCCTGGAGGTGTTTGTGTGGCTGAGACATGCTCCCTTCTGGTCTCAGTTTTCTCATCTGTAAAATAATGGGCTTAGGTCTGTGGTGAGAGGCAGCTGCCCTCCCCACCCATTGCTCACGGTAGACCGGTAATTCCTCACCATTCCTTCTCACTGTGCAGAGACCTGGACTGCAGACCCCACCCTCCCTGGGCAGCCAGGGCCAGTCAACTAAACATGAACATCTGTTCACCATCTTGGATCATACTAAGGGAACCTAGCTTTAACATTACCTGATGCAGGCTAGATATATTTTCGATTAAAAAAAAAAAAGAGAGAGAGAGATGCTTTAGTGGACCAGGAGGCCAAATCTCCTGACACTGGAGGAGGCAGGGTGACCCATGGTACCACTTAAGTAAGGATGTATTCATGCATTTCCTGCGTTAGGGAGCGCCGGAGTGGGCTCTGGGGATTTGAGGTTGAAGGAAACAAGATTATTGCTTTCACGGGAAGAGACCTAGCAGCGGCTAAATGCCCAGAACTGTGAGAGGGTACGTTTCTGCACACGAATCTATTTTCATTCTCAAATTATAGAGCGAAATGCCAGCTCTGCTTTTTGCTCCGTGGCTGTGGGCAAGTTAACCTCTTTGTGCCTCGTTTTCCCATCTACTGAAATGGGGATAATGACGCTGCTACCATTGATTTCCTAAGGTTGTTAAGATGAATTGAGCCAAGTGACATAAATAATTAATAATAATAATAAAAATTAAGCCAGGCCCTACACTCAATAGAATAAACACACAAACTACAACAGCAGCTCTAGAGATGGCCCAGGCCTGTGCTGTTCGGTATGACAGTCACAAGCCACGAGGGGATGAGAAAGTGGCTTTACTGCTGATGACACCTTGGAGAAGGTGCTGCAGGAAAGCCCCTCCACCCCAATGTAACCGAGGAACTGAGTTTCTAGTTTAAATGTCAGTGGCTCTCTGGCTTGCAGCTACCGTGTTGGACTGCACAGGGCTAATTGTATTAGGAGGTGAAACTGGAGGGTCTGAAATAAATTCTGGGGGATCGCAGTGTGAAAGACATATATAATAGTGTTGGTAATAATAAAAGCAGTGCTTACACTGTGCTATCACATGACATTATAGCTTCAGATCCTCCCCGCCCCCCATTTTCCGGTGTCTATGTTAATGTCTATAATAGCCCTTTGAGTAAGGGCTCTCATCATCTCCATTTCACAGATGAAAACACAGAGGCTTAGAGAGGTTAAGGTGCCTCCTCGGCGAGAGTAAGAAGCTGCCTTTGAGCTTAGGTCTCCTGTCACCCAGGAGCTACCATCGCTGTTGAGATGAAAGAATAAGAAAGAAGCGTGAAGGCCACAGATAATCCCCAAACCTTAACTTAGCCAGCTATTAAGTTCCTGGGCAACATTTTCTCACCAGCTGCCCCATAAGTCACAAAGCAGATATTGTCCCCTCCTTGTGCCTCCTCCCTGTGTGTCCACGTACACACACACACACACACACACACTTGAGTCCCTACCTGTCCTTTAAGAATTGGCTCCCATCTCTCTTTCTGGAAGCTGGCCAACTTGGACAGCTTATGCTTAGTCTCTCCCTTCTCCATCCCTCTGTTAATACCATCTCTATAACACTTAAACCTCCTAACCACATTAATGTGTTTGCCAATCTGTGCCCCCCTCTGGACCATTGTCCTCAGAAAAGTATCCTACGGTTGCTGTCTCATCTCCCCGGAGCTTGACCCGGGGTGGGAGCTTATGAATATAGAACGCGCTCAGGATGTGGAAAATAGCAAAGCATGGGTGACTATCCATGGGGCGCGATTATGCTCCTGAGTAATCCGTCACCCTCAGTCCTGGTAGAAGAGCTTGCAGGACCGAGACACTGGAGGGAAAGTGTCGCAAACCTAGAGACTGGGCTCTTTCTAGCCCCCTGCACCTGGGGACTGGCTGTGTGACCTGGGCGGTTGTTTCCTATCTCTGAGCCTCAGTTACATTGTCAAATAAGGATTGGGACTAGGGACACCATAAGGTTGCTTGTAGGTTTGTTTTTCGGTTGCAAAACTCCCTGGGGCTGAGCAGCCAGGAGCTGGCAAAGGAGAATAGCCTTGCTCAGTGGTCGGCAAACTGTGGCTCGGCAAACCGCGGCTCGCGAGCCAGATGCGGCTCTTTGGCCCCTTGAGTGTGGCTCTTCCACAAAATACCGGCTCTTCCACAAAATACTGACTTCTGTGCATGGGCCACGAAGTTTCAAGCACACTGTACGTGCGCGCCCGCACGTGGTATTTTGTGGAAGAGCCACACTCAAGGGGCCAAAGAGCCGCATCTGGCTCGCGAGCCGCGGTTTGCCAACCATGGGCCTAGCTGTAAAGAGAAGAAATGGCTGACGTCGACTCTGTAATTCAGTGTAGCATAGAACGTTTGCAGGGTAAGGGCAACCCCTCTCATGCAGAATCTGCTTTCCTAAGAGGAACTAATTCTTCTGGACACGTTCCTCTCCCATTCCCTTCCCTGGCCTCTTTCTTTCTTTTAGGATTATGGAATTAAAACCAAATCGTAGGTCGCAAATGCTGTGTTTAACCAACATAATATAATTCCTGTTAGTCACCCAACATTTGAAGATTATGAGATTTTAGATAACAACTTATATTTCTGAGTTCCTAGAGAACTCGGAGAATTCTAACAACAGTTGGAGCTGAGCACATCCTCCTTCTTTATTATTTTAAAAAATATTTTTATGGAATTAAAACCAAATCGTAGGTCGCAAATGCTGTGTTTAACCAACATAATATAATTCCTGTTAGTCACCCAACATTTGAAGATTATGAGATTTTAGATAACAACTTATATTTCTGAGTTCCTAGAGAACTCGGAGAATTCTAACAACAGTTGGAGCTGAGCACATCCTGCTCCTTTATTATTTTAAAAAATATTTTTATGTTTTTACTGATTTTAGAGAGGAGGGGAGAGGGAGAGATAGAAACATCAAGGATGAGAGAAGATCATTAATCAGCTGCCTCCTGCCTGCCCTCTACTGGGGATCGAGACCTGGTCATGTGCCCTGACCAGGAATCAAACTGTGATTTCCTGGTTCATAGGTCAACATTCAACCTCTGAGCCACACCGGCTGGGCGATCCTGCCCCTTAGACACAGGGCCTGTGTGCTTCGGTTTTCCCCACTCCCCACCCCTCCCTTTAGTGTCACCCTGCCTGCTTCGCTCATTCCTTCTGCCTTTGGCTCTCTTAGGTGTTTGGGTTCTTTTTATTTTTGGTACATTTCAAGGTTCTCTACCTCCTTCCTTTTTTTCCCTTCACTCTAATTTCTATTTTTGTGTTAATCCTCACCCGAGGATATTTTCCCGTTGATTTTTAGAGAGAGTGGAAGGGAGGGGAGAGACAGAGAGAGAGAAACATCGATGTGAGACAAACACATTGATTGGCTTCCTGCATGTGCCCTGACCAGGGCCTGGGATCGAACCCATGACCCTTCAGTCCGTGGACTGACACTCTATCCACTGAGCCAAACCTGCTAGGGCTTCACTCTAATTTCTCTGTTGTATTCTAGTGTTCTAAAAAGAAAGCCATTCTGGCCTTATAAAAACACCCCCCCCCCCCCGCATATTTTTCCATTTTTGGTAGCAACTTTTTATTAGCGGGTGGAGATACAGGTTGAGTTTTTAAGTTGGAAGCCCATTTCACCCATTTTTTATATATTGGGGATTCAATACTTTTAGGGGGAATTTTAAGAAGAGCTTTAAAAACATACTTTATTTTTTGGGGGAAAAAGTATTCTAATGCTTATAATTAATTTTTAATGCCTCTTGGTCCAGTGGTTTCACCCCTAAAAACATGTAGGTGTTTTTTCTTGGGACTGCTGGAGGGGACGTCCCAAAGCCTGGAAGGGTGCTCCTGGCATTTCGTGGAGCAGGTCCGGTTGCCAAGCACCCTGCAGTAGAAATACCTTTTCCCCAAATGACATGAGGCCTAGATTGCAAAATACCATCTTCCCTTTAATTCTTGGGTCATTTGAGTTTGAAGAGCCCTTTTGGAAGACCCTCCCTCCCTCCTTCCCTCCCTCCCTCCTCCTTCCCTCATCAAAGGATTTAGAAATAATTGCTAACAGACTTGTACAAAAAGGCCTTAGGTGTATATTTGATCAGATATGGCAGAGAAATCCCCTCCTCACGTACAGGGTGTATACATGTCATAAATGGGTGGCTAGGACTTATTTTGTTGGGTCCATGCATTGTCTTAAAAACGAGAAAGGTTCACAGAAGTCCTTTGCTGGGCAGGGGCAGTGTATTAGCAGTTGTACCAGGTCAGGTGGCACCGTGGTACGTGCCTGCCTCGCTGCCTCAGCCTTGGAGCTGAGGGGAAGTGCTCCCCTAGGGTGGGCATGAGCTATGCCCTCCTGCTGCCTGCCCGAGTCCAGGCTGAATGCCAGGGCCATTCCTTACACTCCAAGACCAGGTCGTCCATCTTACTGCAAGACCCATGCTTTTATCCAATGCGGGAGAACAAAAGCTGGAGAGAGGACTGTTTTATTTATTTATTTTTTATTTTTTATTTGTTACCTACGTGGCCCCTGTAGGAATTTGAATTCCCCCCCCCCCCCCCCCCACATGTACCCTATGCTTAC